GAACCTATGCCGCTGGTTTGCCGCGCGGGACGCCTGGGAGCTCGCCACGTACCTGCAGAGCGACGACTGAACCCACATCGGCGACCTGCCGCCGCAGATCGGTCCGGTGTCCTTCCTGCGCACGCGGAGCCCGGTGTCGCTGGCCGTCGAGACGGCCCGCAGCAAGCACGTGCTCAACGATGGCCATGAGGGCGCCCAACACCGTAAGCAGGCCGCCAACGCCATCTGCCGCAACCACGCCGCTGTCACGAAGGACGCCATGCGCGGCGTCAAGGGATGCCCGGACGAGTTTCATAGCGTCACGGACTTTGCTTTCAGGGTGCTTAGCGAGGTCGTGTTGGACCCGTCTAAGCTGGAGGAGGCGGAGATCCGGGTTAGGGAGACTGTTAAGACCGAAGAATGGGTCATGCTTGGACATGCTCTTCGGTTTGAACGAGTGAGATGCTGCTCGGAAAAAGTTGGGGGATACATGGTGGTGCAATTGGTTCATTCATTGGGTGACTATGGAGGTAGGATAAACTATATCGGTTCCGCCCTGTTCACTCTTGCCGACATGAGCAGCCGAAATGATTTTTTCGAATGCTGATCGCACCCATCATGCGATTTTCCCGAGTGATGTCCTCCACTAGAACGAGCTCCGACTTTTTCACCTGCTCTAATACTGCAGCTTCTGATAGTGAAGGCGTGCGATTGTTGGCATGCAGCTTAGCGCGTACTGCTGAACCCGTCTTGACACTGGTCGTGCAAATCCGAACTTTACGTAACCTATCAGGGCAGAAATGTTAGTCTAGCATTCCCGCCATATCATCATCGTCACTGTCGAAATCATCTTCCAAATCTTCTGTTTGATGTCTCCACTCATTGGTGCCGCTTAGCACAGCGCTTTCGCTGCTGTCAATGTCTTGCGGTGCAGAAATGTTTAATCTGGCGAATGTCTCTTTGGAGATTTTCAACACCCCACTGATAACCTTCTCTTTCTCCGATCTACCCGGTAACATCTCTCGCAGCGTGATTTCGGGTATCAAAGATTGGCTCCTCTCACTTGTCACGTCACCACTGACAGCTGTTGCCTCATCATGCGTTGCCGTTGTACCTGAAGGATTGTAGTTCGCCCGAACAGAGAACAATTGCCTCAGAAACCGAGCAATCCGATAGATTGTTCGAAGCATTGACGCATGTGATCCAAGAGTCATTTTCTCACCACAATGGCAATAGGCGCAGACGAAGCGCAGAGCAATTCGCAAGATGTTAATGTTGCACTTGATCTCTGTGACACGGTTTTCGCCGTTCGAACCACCAGTGACGGTGACCTGATAAGTCGCCTGTATCACCAGGTCTTTGCTTTCCGACATAAGAGCAGCCAGAAGCTTCCGATTGGTGACGGATGTGTGTGTATCCCACCCTACAGTAGTGTCAGGGATCTCGGAAGCGGGGACGGATTCCGCATCACTGTGCAAAAATCGAAAGGTGGGTGACGAGTGAGAGCGATGGAAAGAGTCATATTCACTCCAGTTAACCAGTAGAAAGAGGCCGCTCTCGAACATTTTGACCTTTGAGCGATCCCGAGAGATTCTCAAACAGTCGTTAATAATAGTGACGATCCTCTTGCATATGAACAGATGTTTGCGCCTAGTCGGGCAGGAGGGATCCGGAGGTAACTCGGCCTTCACGCACTCGTGATGCATTCGCGCGGTGTGCAGCGTTTGCTTGTCCAAAACACCTGGTTGCAGCCAAGAAGGCTTCGTAGAAACAGAAACATCAATTCCATTGCGGTCAGCATCCCTATCAATAAAGGCTTTGGTTGTTGTAAATTCTGCCGCATATGCTCGTATACTTTCGTCGGAGAGATTTCTTGCGTTCATCACCGCACGTTTGGCTGTACTGAAGCGAAAACTTGCATGCTTTTTGCCCAGTCCGTGTTTGAATTCTGAACGAGATTTGTTATGTTTGAGCCCGAACAAGAGGACGCTGACGACACGCGATGTCATCCGGGGGTCATCCTGGTTATTGTGATAGACATCCATAAACGAAGATAGAGTCTGTGCAAGCGATCTTGACACGGTATCGGCGTTCACTGCCGCATTGATTTCGATAATAACTGTGGGGTTGTCTTTGAGAACGTCCTTTTCCAGGTTCTTAGTTGCACCTTTCCGAGACCCTCCCTGCACCCTTGATCGAGATGGTATTCGCGAACTACCTGCAGAGCTTTGAAGAATGAGGAGTTTGATGTCCTCTAAACTGGACGCCGTATTGGCATTGCTTTTCACTAGGTCCGATAATGTGGCATTGCAGCTGGCCAGCTCTTCTGCCAACCTCTTGTGCATTGCCACTATGGATCGCTGCAACTCAGTGCTCTCAAGCGCGGATGAATTCGATCGGGGTGCGTGCAAGGTAGGGTTCGAACGTGCGGCAGGCTGTAACTCGGTGCTCTCAAGCGCAGATGAATTCGACAGGGGTACCCGCGCAGTAGGGTTCGAACGTGTGGCCTCAGTCTGAGAGGGTCTTAGTCTTCGACGCTTCTCGGCGCTTCCAATTCCGGCCTGTAATGGCAATGGACGCCTCTTATGCGCGGACACTGTACGTCGCAGACCCATGTTTCCTTGTGCTTCTTTTTGGGGGCTGGATGATGGCGAAGCTATGACTTGGAATGAAGGTCCCACAGAATCTGTCCGAAATCGCAAACGGGAAGATCTCCGCCGTGTCTTATCTGCACCCGAAGACGCTGGTGTGTGTGATTGAAGGGAAGAAGGTTCTGTAGTGTGAAGAGGTTGGCGCGGTGATGAAGGAGGCGACGACGTGTCTGGAGAAGGAGGTCGGTGAGATGCGAGAACGGCTGATTTCGCGCGAGGGGGTAACGAAGATCGCAGATTTGATGGAGGAGGACAAGTGGTGCGTTCGGAAGTCGAAATAGTTTCCTGGGGTGTGAGGAGTGCCTTCGAAGTTGAAGGGATGTTTTCGGAACCACTATGCGTAAAACGCCGTACATACCGCCTGAAAGAATTGCCCATCACGTTGGGAAGCGCGGCAAACTCGAACTGCGACTGTTTGTGCAGATCACTTAACTGTTTCGCGGGAAAACATTTTTCAGAAGTATGTATTAGTTGATTGCAAAGACAGCTTCTACCATGCCCGCCACTTCCACCATTCGCACGCTGCGCCGCCCGCGCGCGCCACCCCCGGGGCCGATGTGCCGGCGCTGCGCGCCCGCGCCGGCCTTCGCGCTGCCGCCGCCGGTCTTGGCGGGCGTGCTGGCGGTGGTGTCCGTGTCGGTGACGCTGGCCTTCAACACACTTCTGCCGCCGCGCGCGCGCGTCTCGCTGCCGCGCCTAGCGCGCCGCCTGCGCCTGCTGCTGCCGCGCGCGTCGCGCCCCGCGTCGCGCCGCCCGCCGCCCGCGCCCGCCGCCGCGCGCCCGCCGCCCGACCCCGTGGCCCAGCTGGACGGGCTGCGCGCGCGCGCCGTGGCACAGCTGGACAACGAGCGCATCGCCTCGGCCGCGCGCCTCTCGCACGACGACTTCGTCACCCTGCCCGGCCTCCAGCGCCGCGAGCTGCTCGCCACCGCCTTCGCCGAGATCGCCAACGCCCCGCCGCACAAGCGAGCCCCGCCCGCGCACACGGTCGCGCCCGCCGTCGACGCTTCCACCCCCGCCGCAGGCGATGGCCGCGCCGCCGTCAGGCCGGCGCGCTTCTTCTGGAACGCCGCCGAGAGCGTCAACGGTCGCGCCGCCGCGCTCGGCTTCGTGCTTTGCTTCGCAAGGAAGGTTCTCGAGCCCGGACATCCGTCGCTTGTGGACCAGGTCGTCGATGTCGTCGTCCCTATCGCGCAGAAGACGCCCCCGTTTCTTGTCGCCGTCGTCGACCAGATCGTCGACTTGCTCACGTGATTACCGCGCGGAGGGCCAGGGGAGGGAAGGCCCGCGTTTGGGGACTATCGTAGTGTAGATGCGCGTCGTAGAGTAGTGTGCGTGGTACTTGTTCGTCCTATCCGCTCGCGTTGACGCCGGGGGGGGGCGAGGGAGCCCGTCTCTTGCATGTCGACGCCGAGTGCCGTTTCGAGGGCCGAAGGTTTTGCCGAAACGCCTCCCGTGCTCGACTCAAGATCAGTCTCCATCCCAACAACATTCGGAATAAATTGTTCCAATTTCTCCCTCCCGTGCCTGCGCCGGCCGGCCAAACTTCCACTACCCCATCCCATTCCCTTACTCCCACCAACCCACCACCAAAAGTTTGGGAAAACCTAATCGCCCTTATCAGCACTTGCGAACAGCACCAGGCAGCTACTTCCCTCGCCAAGAAAGTGCTTGTCCTCATCAAGTCTGGAAAAGTTGTCAGTGGTGATTTTTCTAGTAGCGGAACGGAAGGCCCCGACGGTGTGGATCCCAAAGACCCTCACACCTGGTCTATGAACCACTTTGCGAACATGCTAGAATCAAAAACTTGTCCCTTGTCAAGAAAATCGCATGATGTGTTGACGGCCAAGGTTCTCATCCCGTTTCGAGGGCGCGATGAGAAGAGAGCTCTCTGCGCATGGTTATCTTCAGAGGGCAATCTGAAACAGTTGCAGGGCATTTGCGATACCATGTTTTCCCTGCCCCCGCTCACATTGAAGTCATTACACTCGGCCATCCGGTCTCAAATGAAAAATATGACCGCATGCAGAGTCAGGGACAACTATCTGGTGCAGACGTGCTTCAGCTCCCTTTCCAAACAAGAAAACTTTTTAAAGCAGCAACGGCTTTGCAATCGGCGAACACAAATGTGGACTTGTGGCTTGATTATCTGGATTTCGAAAGGCGCATTGCACGCGAATCAAAGCTGGCAACAAAAGTCAACCGGCAGGCATTGAATACTTTAGACGCAAAGCGAAGAGAGCTCTTTACAGAGAGACAAATTCTCCGCAACCTTGCATGAAGAACAGCGTGCTGCTCTGGAGCGTGTTGGGAAAACGCTTGGGACGCACCATACTCGCACTGATAGATGTCAGACCTCTCAATGACTGATTCTAACACGGGCCGTTTTATCCATCGGGCTGAAACACATTCAATGCAATACAACATTACGCTCCACTGTTCTACTGCGTACTACCAACTCGCATCTCTAAATTCCGAGCATTGTGGCGAGCCTTTTTTTGCCACAGAGCTGTCTCAGAAGCAGCGCATGTTTTGCCAGGTGAAGCCCACGATAGTATGGGTGTGGGGGGGGTACGCGGGCAAGTTGATTTACCGCACAGCATCTTCAACAGTGCTATCGCCCTCTTCGACGAGTTCGGCGCGCTCTTCTCTAGTCCATTCATCTTTGGTGCCGATGGAGACTTTTGAAGCACTGAAAAGGCGCTGTTGGCATATGACGGCAATGGCCATCATGACGGCACACAGGCAGAAGACGGTGGTATTCTCATAGTTTTTGTACAGAATGAGGCAGACTATGAGATTCAAAGGAAGACGAAAGTAGTTCATAATGGCGGATCGGGTGACCTCGGGAACATACTTTGCTCGCATGGTACCCATAGCCGGAAAGTACAAACCGCAAATGACCTCAAACGCAAGCAGAGCGCCGTACACCTCCCATACATTGGATGATATGGTGGTGACGACAAAGCAAACGACGCCTATGATGTACATATTGCGCATGAATAGCTCAGCGGGTTGTGTCTTCATAAGAAAGACGAATAAAATGCTTCCAATTATGATGCAAACCATGAAGGAACTAAAGATCATGCCATGCGGAATCTCGCCAAGTGACATGGCATGCGACGCGGCCTGTAGCGCCGGGGTCCAACTGAAGACCATGAGATACATGGCAGACTCAAAGCAGGACTGAATGATGCCGACAAGCAAGATCTTCTCATCGGCAATCATCATATGCCAGGCACTGCGCAAGCCGCCGGTGACGGTCTGCCTACTATCGCCAAAGTTCTCGGACCAGGACAACATGACAATGAGGCCCGTGGCGGCGAGGATGACAGCGGCCGTATCAAACGGGGCGACCTTTCCAAACTGGGCAGCGACCATGCCAGCAATCTGGCCTGCGACAATGGCGACGACAGCATTCCCAAACTGGGCCTTTGAAAAAGTGTCGGCGATGAGGTTGGGATCAAAGCCGCGGTTGTTATGCTCCGACACAAGCCACGACTCAAAGGCCGAGAAGAGGATGCTGGTAGCAATGCCCGCCAGCAGCCTGCCGACCATCAAGGTAGCAAAGTTCGGCGAGTGCTTGGTCATGCAGGACAGGGCGTACGTGATGACGAAGACTAGGACGTTAAACTTGCGGCCATACTTGTCGGCGATGGAGCCGATAAAAGTGCCGAGGATGGCGGACGAGCCAAAGCCGGCGATGAAGAGCTGGGCGATCTCCTTCCCGTAGCCGTACGCGGCGTACAGCGCGTAGACGTAGGGCCCCTGCAGCCAGTCGGCCGCGATGGCCAGCAGGTAACGACCAGTTAGTTGTTCTGGAAGGCTGGTGGTACGGCAGGCGCTCGGCGCGCGGGCCCAGGAAGAGGGCGTAGCCGCGGATCACCTGGGCGTCGATGTCAAGCAGCGCATCCGCCAGGCCCAGGCGGCACAGGGCGTCGTGTCTTGGACGGTGTTTGGACGGCGGGTGACCACGCACGTGGGGGGGATCGTGGCCGGGTGGTGGCCGGTGGGGGATAGGGCGGCGGTGAGGTGGCGGGGGCGGGGGGGTGTTGCATGGTGCGCGCGGGGAGAAAGGACGCTAGAGTAGAGCAGGCAGCAGACGACGAGGATGGAGAGCGTGCGGCGCACGATGGCGCGTCGCGGCTTAGTGAAACATCGAGGTCGAGGCCGCACGCATGTCCCACGGCGACGCACGCTGGTGCCAAGCCTGCGTCCAGCGTAGTAGCCTCGTGCAGAAACCGGCGCGCGACCTCGGTCTTTCCCCACGCGAAGGAGTATTAGCTGACGAGCATCCAGCTGACGGCGCTCTTCGGATCACGGTCCACCAGCCAGTGGGCTTCTTGCAGACGAAGAATAACGGCACCCGACTTGCGAAATTCGACGAGCTATGAAGAGATGAGAGAAGGCCACTCCGGTGGCACTCCGCACAAGAAACGGGGGGGGGGATGCTACTGCGGTGGCACTCCGCATGTGATACGACAGCACTGCACGGTTGACCCAGATTTCCGCCCTGCTGTACCTACTGTTACCAAAAACGATACAGGAACCAAGCTCCCAAACAACACGGTTACAGATAACATATACGGTAAATCCACGCCCGATGGATGAAAGGAAGACGGCAACCACACTGATTTCAGTCCTGCCATCCCCAGACCGGCATCAGCCTCTCTGAGCTGATAGGTCACTATAAAGGCAGGCCCGAACCTCAGAAGCCCTGCCATGGTAAACAGAACAAACGTCGCTGCTCTTTTTCGCAGCAAACCAGGAATGCAAAACGCAAAGTAAAGAGAAAGCCTAGAGAACATAACTTGGGCGACATTGCTTCGAAGTCAGAAAGCGAAAACAAAGCAGACAATAATCGTATCAATCTCGCCTTCATCCCAGTCTCAGGCACCCCGTTAAACGAAAACGGGTGCGAAGCATGCCGCTGCGAAGCTGAATGAATGGTGAGCAGATGCGGTTGTCCATCGTCATACAGGGACGCATTCCACGGTACCCCATACGCAATCACGCAAACCTCAGGAGCACTCTTCTCAGACTGCTCTCCTGTTCGCTTCTCGCAGTTGGACGATAACCTCTTCACAACACCCAGTGGCACTCCATCAACACGAGCCTCCAGCTTGGACCCCTCCATCACGCGTTGAGGCCCGACAAGCCGCACATGTGAAGACATCAACGCACCCCACCCTGCGCCGACACTCTGGGTCAAACGGGATGACACGGTCATTGCGTAGTCAGATATACCATGAAGGTCTTCCTCATCTGATGAGTCTTCATTGTCGTTCCCCATGTCAGACGCTCTGACGGCCTTACCATCGTCTGTAAATAAGAGACGATTGGCACTAGGCATTGCTTTTAGCAAGTCCAGTTTTCGCCTCTTGCGTTTCCGCATCAGAATCACCTCGGAAACCTCATAAATGCTGTCACCCGCCTCGTTAACATTTGACGAGTTAATTTTGTGATTGCAAGTCATTTCCTCGCTTTTAAACAATATTTGGAATGTTCATAAACAAAACTTCTGTTGTTTCAGAAAAAGTGGCGATGTACCGTTCATAGACAACATTGAGAATGTTTCTTAGGTCTATATGTATTGCCGCCACACATACAATAGTACTGTTATTAATGCAATCTAATTACCGTCTTTGGACAATAATAGTAGTGTTTTCCATGTCAAAAACATTGCTTTTGGACAACGTTTCGTTATTTCTTTAAAACTATCGTCCAAAAACAATACTTTTTATTGTTTTTCACGGTTTTGCCTCCGCAGTGGGCGACGACGCAGAGTCCGGATCCTGGCACGGAGCCGCGCTGTCGTAGCGTCTCACCCTCGAGTGGGTGGTCGGAACGTAGAACGGAAAACGAAAGGGAAAAAGGCCAAAAGACCTACGAAAAAGAAAGGAAAGCGTAGATGACTAGGGGTCGGACTTGACCAGACTAGCCCTCCGTGCTGTCGATGGTCCTCTCCTCATTCCCTCTCTTCATTCCCCTAGCGGCCTCCTTTATTAACTACGTAATACTGTACTTCTTACACCGTAAAGCGTAACGGTGCCAATACAGAGGAGACTTCGTAACGACTATTTGCCCCATTGCGCTACAGTACTGTACTCGAGGTACTGTAAGGATCGGTCGCCTTACACGCAACATTAGACGGATCCGAAAAATGACAGTCGTTGTCATAACGTTTGCCACGTGGTCGACGTTTCCACGCGGACAGTATTTTTGTGTAGATAGGACACGCGTCCTTATGCTACACGGCCCTCATCCCAGCTTGAGCGTCCCGGCTCAACACGTATGGCGAAGCGGCCGTATTGCTACTTATAAAGGCGGAGGCGACATCTTCGTGATGTTTTTCGTAGGCAGCACCATCGCCGTCGTTGTCGTTATATGAAACGAGGCACGATGCCATCACCACCAGGTGACGCTGTCACTCGTGTTCTCGAGGACGAGTTCCAGGACATTACGAGTCCAACCAATGCCGCTGACGAGCCGCGGGTCGCCCCTCCGCCGGGGGTTCAGGTTTCCGAACCAACCCCGCAAAATTCACCAAACGTTGGTGACATCCTAAAACCAGTCGTAACAAGAGCCGTCGAGGCGCCCGTGCCACTGCCGAGTCAAGTCGTCGATCGGCCCACGATATCAGCACTAGAAGCGTCCGGTCACGTTTACACGACGAGTCCCGGTGAACTGATCACGTTGTTTCGTTACGAATGGTACGCTCCCTCACCGCCGTACGCAACGACCGGGAGTTGCGCTGTACCTGGGAACCCGTACGAGGGCGTCGAGCCCAGCACGTCCCTGGAGCGATTCGCGTCGTCGTCAAAATGGCTTTGTCGTGCCAATGGAGACGGTCCCTCTCTGCACAAGGCCACGTTGGCATACGAGTGGGAACTGCTCCCCCGAGTGGATGTTACGTTATCCGAGGTCCTCACCATGTCGCATCCTCGTCCGGACCTTCGCCGCTTTCAACTCATAGCGTTTCGTAGTGTGCCGGAAGCCGTGGCCGCCGCTTGGGGGTCTTACTTTGGTCGCGGGCACGCGTACTAGGTCCCTGATGAAATACCTTGCGATCGCACGTTTGCGTTTTCCGTCGAAGAAGTCGAGTACGTCGACAAGACAGCACGTCTGCTCTTTGGCACCACGAATCCGGACTTGAACGTCTTTCCTCTCTCTGAAATGGCAACGTTGTATATGCACCCCTGCCCGTCTGGTACCCCGACACGCGTCTGGAGTTGATACGTGCAACCGCCAGCTTGATGCGCATGACGGGACGTTCGCTGTGTCCCACCGACTGGTCATCGTGCCGACGGCCGGACAACGATGAAACTCGAGTTTCCCATGCGTCATCGCTCGCGATGGGGTTGACGCGGGAATCGTTCCCTCAACTTCCACCTTCCGTTTCCGGTACATTTCCTCCAGCGGGGGTACACGTTCTTCTTCCGCTGGTACTTACGTTTTTCGGCTATGCCGCGGCCGATCCGCAGCACCCATCTGCGGTCAGGTTTAATCGCGTCGTAGCGCAAGAATGGACGGTCCACGTGCTAAGTGCGTTTATGCGAGAGTTCATTACCGATCGTCGTGCCCTCATTATCTCTGCAGCGTGCGTCGAGGCAACGCAAATTAATGCGGCAACCTTGCCTCCCCTCACCCAATGTGCACAGGGGGGGCCGGACGCTAGCCGTTAGACGTTGCCGGAAGCCCATGCGTGGGTAGTTCGTACCGTGTCTGCGGACGTTTCCGCTCGTGAATCCCGAAAAGATTTTGCCACCGGTGATCGTTCACTGTACGTATATTACAACTCTTTGACCGATTCGTTCACCCGAGAACCTCGCCGTGGCGGAGATTCACGTCCGTATCGTGGTGGCCTTGGCCTGGAGCGTGCGTACAGTTCCGTTGGGTGGGGTTCCGTTCCGCTTCCATTCGTTGGAGGGTCCACCGATTCGCCGCTCGTCGCTCCTCGTGTTACCTCGAATTCTGTCCTTAAGTCGGGCCTCTCCTCGGATGATATGGACCGTGATCCAAAAGCCGTCGGGGCATTGGGGCAAAGGTCGTCCGAAACGTGGAGCGTTTTTTCAATCGTTGACACGTTAGCGAGATGGTACCTCGTAAGGAATTCCGAATTACGTCACCTGAGCGCAGACTTACGCGCCGTACAAGCGGAGGCCTCGTTGGCTACAAGTCGCTTGGAGGACGTGTCTAGTGCGTTAACAGACGCGAGGACCGTAATTTGTGACGTTCGGGAAGAGCGCGATCGGTATCGCGCTCAACGCGACGAGGTGTGGTATGGCGGCGGCCGTGGGCAACGTGGATATTATCTGTCTACCGTCGGGTCGAGTGCAACGAATGCTGGGCAAGCGTATCCCTCCTGGCCCCAAGAGCAGCCCAGACGTCCAGAACCGTATCAAGTTAGTCATCGCGACCCGTACGAATACCTTCGTGGTACTGGCCAATCGCTCGAGGGCGGTGCTGGTCGTCCGCTCCGGCAGCGAGGAGAAGGCGTCCGTCGTGAGGACGGCCCTCCGCCGTTTGATAGGGCTGCGTAGGCCGTTTCGATATTAGTCGTTGCCAAGGTGAGGTAGTAAATACAGCGT